CGGGGCGCCTTTTGCCGAAGGAAAAGCGCCCTATGAAGCTCATTCAGCACGAAAAGCAACACGACCGTTCTTAGGCGATATATATTGCTAGTATCCGGCGGGGCACGCTCAGGCATAATCCGCAACTACGCGTATAAGAACTTGTACGAAGTCCAACCCCCAAACCGGCGAAGCCCGCTCGCATGGATCAAGTTTCGTTCACGGAGACAAGAACTTGTACGAAGTCCAGCCGCCGACCCGCGAAGCCTGCTCGCACGGATCAAGTTTCCCTCACGAAGCGGCTACCACACATTCTCAACCTACAGCGCAACGTGCACCTCGCTGTGTCGTTCTGTTGCGGATTAAATAAACGCATTTACTTGGAGTATGTGAAATTAGGGCTAACTACTTTCAGGGTTTCACTGTCCGAAAGCGGATCACAGACGACGGCCTGATCAATGCATCCGATACCCGAAGAATGTCCGGGGCTCGGCAATTCCTCGATTCAAGCTTCGTCGGGTGTGCGCGACACTCGGTTTCACGGTTGATCACTTCCGTAACTACCGCAACTGCGCGCTTGTGGCCATTACGTGAGCAGCCTGGCTTGGCTTGACTTGGCTTGACTTGGCCTGACCGCTTGGCGGCAAAAGAAAACTGGCTTGGTGGCTTACTGAATTGGGCGCAATTCGAGACTCGCGGATCCGAAAATTGGAGGTGCGTTAATTACCGGCAAGAGAAAACAAATTCAAAATAATGATGGCCGTTGTGGGGGGTGCATTTATTATGCGAGTGTCTTTATTATGCGAGTGCGTTTATTATGTGAGTAAATACGGTATTGGTCTTGAGTGCTACGGCGACAGCTGTAAATTAAGGGGTGATTATGTAGGCTCTAGTGCGGAGGACGACATGGTGAACATCAAGAGGTTCGTTTGTATTACAACTGTTTAAATGCAGCTCACGCTTTAATGACGGCAGCAGTTGGCGTCTCGCCCCAGTATTACATCAGCCACACAGTTTGAAAGGACTGTGAAGCAGGGGCGGATCCAGAACTCCGTTTTTTTTGTTGTTTTTTTAGGGGGGGGGGACGGAAAATTTCTAAGGATACTATCCTTCCATTCTTTCTTGTGCAACGGGGCTCTACCCATGGCAAATTGCCCTCCAAAGGGGGAGAGGAAAGGGAATCGACTTTGTTTGGGGGGGGGGGGGGGGGTGATGGGGCGGCCACCCCCGTCGTCCCCCCTTGGATCCGCCCCTGCTGTGAAGACGATGCCGTAGCGATGGGAGCCAAGGCTTAGCGAGAGCGTCGAGCAACCGAGGGGACGAATCAACGCTCCATTTCTCTTATGTAAATGTTGTCCAGGTGCTGGCGTCAATACTTTTTGTAAGCGTCGTCGGAAACTTTCACAAATAGATGATTTGGCGGCGCCAGCGTCTACGAGGCTTACCAGCGTTTGTCCATCAATTTCAACAGCAGCAGCAGTTTGGCCGTTCCTAGAAGGATTTATATCGTAGTTTGGTTCTCTAGCCTTGCCTCCGGTGGCAACGCAGGCTGTAGGTTTTAGTGTGAGGTCGGAATTGACGCGGCGGCGAATTTGAGGGGCGACAAAGAGCGTTGGTGTCATTGGTAGAGAGACGGTGATCGGCCTCTGCGGTTGTCACGCTGAGGAAAGAGAGCTGGGGGCTGGGAATCAGAAGAATTGTTGTCGTCATCGACAAAGTAACGCTGGTAAGGTTATCGGAAATAATACTCATCAATATCCAGGCGCCGGCGGCAGTGGCGAGCGAAGTGACCGCGTAAACAGCAGTGGACAAGATGGGTCACTGATGGTCAGTTCTCCTTATTCTACTTCTACGACGTGGTGCGTAGGTTCGTGACGTTGGGACAGCCGGATTGAGATGGGAAATTTGGTAGTATTATTGTGAATAATATGGCGTAGAGCGTAAGAGTGGTTTTAAGGATAATACAGGAACATACTTTGTAGTCGACGGTGTGAAGAACGCAAGTGCTGTTGAAGCTCGTCCTGGACAACTTTTTGGATACTTTGGGCTTGAGGACGGGGTTGGGTTACGTCCGGAGATGCGTGCAGCTGGTCAAGAAATGAACGCAGCTCATCACGAATGATGCTGTGATGCTGCAGATCAATGGAGGCAAGTCGACACTTGCATCAGCTGCAAGTTATATCTCTGGCAGGCGTTCGAAGGGTGTGTTTGATACGCCTACACTTTGCAGCTTTTCGTATTTCTTGCACTCTCCAATGAGCTTTCACATGTGACTTGGAAGCGACGATGGTGAAAAGGTCTTGGGATAGCCCCTTGAAGAGGTTTCGAATACGGTCTTCCTGTGTCATTTGGGAATCCAGTCAATTACAAAGATGGAGGACGTCGTCAACGTAAGGGGTGGAAGATTCTGTGGGAGGGTAAAATCGTTGGGCCGGCTTGTCTTTTGCTTGCTGTTTACGTTCTTGTTTTCCGAAGGCCTCAGAGATTGTGGCTGCGAAGACGTCCAACGGGTCAATTCCACATTCATCGTGGTCAAATCATAGAAACGCAGTAACCTTGAAAAAGAACACGACATCGGCCAGTTAGTATCTGTCCTCCCTTCTGTTGTGGGGAGTTGCACGATCATGGCTCTCAACCTGTCGTAGACATCGGTCTTAGGAGAGCCAGCAAAACTGGTGGATCACGTTGTCGGTTCTTGACGGTCGGAGATGGTGGAAAGGTACGAGAGATGGTAACCTTTTAGAAGGGCTTGCTTGTTGTGACTTCCTGGTAACTGTATGTCCACTACGCAACTCCAGTATGGAATTAACGACAAAAAGTTTGGGAACGTCGCTCACATCCACCGCATGTGACGGTGTTTATATCGATGATTTAATCAGAGATTGAGACTTGGTATTGCGGGTGTTCGGAGCGACGAGCTCGTTGACCACAAACTGAGAGCGTATGGCCAGCCTCCGCTTCATCTTCTTATGTCTAACAACATTATACATTCATTATAGCACTTCTCCCAAACGTGAAAACTGTAGGAACGCGAGGGGTTATTTATAGCTGAAGAGACTGTTACAAAAACAATAATGACGCTGATTTTTTTTAGGTTGCATAGGTGTTCAGGTAGTTTTGTAACGTATGAGAGGAGCAGGAATTATTCGACATAAAATGTATCATTTGTGAGAAATTTAGATGAGAATGTAATAATATTACACTGTTATATATATATATATATATATATATATATATATATATATATATATATATATATATATATATATATATATATATATATATATATATATATATATACAGGGTGTTTCAGAAAACGCAGGCCAAATCGCTCCAGCGAAAACTCCCCATCGCAACGAAAAAAGGCTTGTGGCGTTTTGGTCCTTGCCCAGGGGCCCATTTAGGAAAATGATTAAAGTCCGGGATAATTAAGTTGTTAATTGTTTTTGCGTAATTAACTTTTTATTATTGTGTTTAAGGGCATGGTGTAAATTAGAAAATTGCTCAGCATCATCGAAAAACACTAAATCAACAAATTGCAGAACGATAGAAGTGACGCGAAGCATTTTACGGCCTTCTGGAAAACCGCACAAATTCGACGGGTTTTTAAGTTTCGGTTTGCTATCGGAGCGCAACTCGGCCCCGGCGGCACCGCGGAGAGATAGTGGAACCAGCCTCTGCTCCGTCGCGCGATGACAGAGCTGCAAAGGTTGGTTGCACTATCTCTCCACGGGGCGGGCGAGGTGCCGCCGGGGCCGAGATACGCTCCGATAGAAACCGAAACTTAAAAACCCGTCGAATTTGTGACTTAAATCGTTCTGCAATTTGTTGATTTAGTGCTTTTCGGTGATGCTGAGCAATTTTCTAATTTAAACCACGCCCTTAAGCACAATATTAAAAAGTTAATTACGCAAAAATAATTAACAACTTAATTATCCCAAACTTTAATAATTTTCCTAAATGGGCCGCTGGCCCAGGACCAAAAAGCTACAAGCCTTTTTTCGTTCCGATTAGTAGTTTTCGCAGGAGCGATTTGGCCTGCGTTCTCTGAAACACCCTGTATATATATATATATTAGGGATTGATCTATCCTTTTAAAATCAGTAAATAAAATTCTAGATCTCTCCCCTCCCTCCCCCCCCCCCCCCCCCCCCCCCCCCCACTACACCATGCGGGGTTTGTGTCAAAACAGAAGAGGTTGTAGTGCCATTTTTGTCACCAACTCTGCATGGTGTTTTGAAATTTCTCTAGCTTCCACGATATAGGGATCGTCCAGCAATGCGAAGTTTTCGTAAACCACTTCGCAAATCTACGGGTAATAAAGAGCAACGGCGCATGCAGACCACTAGCATTGACAATCGAATGTGCGATATTGTAGTACATTGCGCAGAACGTTGCGGGATGTCTAAAAAATGTATAACAACACGCTGATATTAAATTTGCTTGCACCGATATGAACGTGAACATTTAAAGTTAAATTTTATGAATTCTAAACACATAATCTAAACACAGTTGGGCTCACAAGTTTTTAGATAATGGCCTTTCAAAGAATGCAGCACTCAACGCGAGCTTTACGGTTGTTTTACCGCCATTAAGAATTCACTCGGACCCATGACAAGAATCAGAAAAAAAATTATACATATTTGATAAGTGCACTTTTCTGTGAGTGGTTTTCTTGCACATCTAGACTCTAGCTGAGTAGTGATTGGACTATATGATTGGATTTTATAGAACTTATTTTTTGAAAATGTATAGTTTAGAAACGGCATTTTTACTGCATACTGAGTCAGTTTAAAATAAGGATTATATTGTAAAACCAATAATGCAAACTGACCCCTGTGATGACGAACATTTCAACATATTTTATTCATTAAAACGCTTGGGATAAAATCTCATAGTAAAAGCAGTTCTACGTGGAGAAATCACTAGACTAAACCATTTATCACCAGCTGAAGGCGTTCATTGATATCTCATTTTTTAACTATTTTCCTCTGTAGACATAGTTAATAGAATATACGTACCGAGTGTAGGAGTCAGGCGTTCCGTTTATCGCGGACCACGTTTGGCCAAAGAAGGCATCAGCATTTTTATCGATCCCGTACCAGAGAATCGTGTAGTTGACGGAGCCTGGTGCATCAATGCTGTTGCCACTTTGGTAGCACTGATATGTCAGCACTGGCCTTGTTTGAATATCCTTGAAAAGCAACATTGTATTCGTTGGAAAGTCAATTATTGCGTTCGCGCTACTAAGCAGTTACTCCTGACATTCGCTGAATTGTGTCCTTTGAAAAACAAAAAGAAAAATAGCTTACTTTTACTCGCGGTTTTAAAGCTTATTCACAACTTGCATTCGTTTTATTCACTAAGTAAACTTAAGTCAATAATAACAAACAAGTGTTTGACTAAAGTTTTCACATAGAAACAGATTGTTGCAAGATTTTCAGTAGTGTTTCGGTGCTAAATTTATGAATTGAATTTTTCGTATTTATAATGTTCCGCACAGCTATACCTCATACCGTGAAAAACGCTGACTTAGTTTTGGCCAAATATTGTTGAAATATATGTATAAACAAAAAACACAAAACACCTTTGCGATGTTTACTTGAAACAAGTATAGCGACCAGCAACATAAAAAGAAGACGAGATAGACGCCACGCTACAAGAAGCGCAAGGATAAAGTCTCGTGCACTCACGCGCAAATTTGAAGATTCGGCCATGCCGCATTATTTACAACTTAAGAAGTTCGAGTTTGATGGCGATTTCATGTTCGATTTGTTAAGTCTAACTTGCAAATGAAATTATTAATTGCTTTTAGTTATTACACTACCGGCTTAGCTATAACTCCGTAAGGTATCGGATTAGTATATTTATGTTTGTAAAAAGGTGCACTAGGTTGCTCACTAATAAAATAAAAGAAACGAAAATACATAAATACAGGTTGTTCATTATTGACAAAAATAATCCTAAACTTTTTTAAGAGAAATATGGCCCTGGAAATATATTATACGAAGTAACTTTGCAAGGACCAGTGGGTGGCTCAAGTCACGAGGCTCATGCTGCGAGATTTATATTAGGAAGAATAAGGCGGCTTGATTTGTTAAAAACATGGGAACGAAAGTTAATCTACGATTATTTTTTGTTCATCAAAAATTTTCTAGATTAAAAACTTTATATGTACTGTTGGCCATGACTTCATCCACCCTATTATACGTGATCCCCTCAAAGCTCTGCCAGCTTACCTGCTTCATCACCCCCAAAAACATCTTGTTATATAGACAATATTCAGTCAAATATTAAAACGGTTTTTTGCCAAAAAAATGTTATCATTGGAACCCCAATTATGCCTAAACTAGATATGTTAGTAAATTTAGGATTTGAAAAGAATGCACTACTTGAGTACCAGATTGTGAGTTTAAGTGATATTGCATTGAGTTAGCTTCAATTCAGTGTGGATCTTCACTTGGATAATGTGAAGTGTCGATCATGCTCCTTGAAAGACTGACTAAAACCAAGCCTACTTTGTAAAAAAATGTAGTCTTGCTTTAGTATCTCAACTTAGCGTTTTGTATTTTCTAAAAAAAAAAGTTATGCGGAGGAGTAGGAAATAATGTCCATCATATTTCTGCGGCTGCCAGAGATCATGAGAGGTTGCCAAACTAATTTGGGCTTTACTCCCCGTGACTAACAAGGTTAAAAATAAATAGGTCCGGATAAAAAGGGAAAATATTTTGTCTATTCTGCTTTTAGCTTTGTTTTTCATTTGATATTTAAAAGATTCGGATCGTATGTTGAAACATCTCCTACATAGCCTCACTAATGCTTTTATATAGCGACAAAAATTCGCGATTAGCACAGATATAGGAAAGCGATTCTTACGTCGAAAAATTGTTTCGTTGGGTTACTTGGGGTGCTTGATTCGCTTCGATGAATGGGGCAAGCAAAGAACACCAGCAGCATTATTGAGTTTATCGCTTGCATGTTTGAAAGAGCCCTGCAAGATGCATTGGTACCTGTGACCCCACAGTGATGCAAATTTTACAGGATTAATTTTACGTTCACAACACCCAAAAAGCCCGTACAGCAAATAAAAAGACCTCGCCTTTTCTTTTTTTTTAGTAATTGCGAATAAATTTAAGATACAACAGGCATTACATATTGTGATAGCACCACCACACGCTTCTTCGGTTTCGCGCACAGAGAAACATCCAGTACACGAAGTAACCAAAAGACTTTTTTCTCTTCTAGGTCGTCGAAACTTGTTCTGTTCGGTGTCGCACTACACTTTTATAAATCATCCAGTTTGTTTCATATATTGAAATACCGAAATAGGCTTAAGCCAATGCGAAGTACACTGTACATCGGTTTTGACCATTTAAAACAAAAATATGAATTTTTAGGTGATGAACCCTACAGCAAACGTTTTCTTAATATCGTTACTTCCTTATTATATCGTTCATGTGGCATAGACCTTGCGATATATAAGCACTGCTAACCTAACAAGAGGCGTAAATATATGTTGATAATTGATCAAAAGTTTAATCGTACGGGGTTAATTCGTTTAATATTGTCACGAACGACAATTCGTGAGGCGATAAAAACTGAAGGAAACTAAACGTTAAATGGGGCAAACTTGCGCCCAAAACAAAACAGAAAAAAAAAACGCTGGCGTCGCTGGCGTAGATGGCGGCAAAACAGCAGGATCGAACGCTGGGGTGAGACTAACTCTAGCTCGCCACGCGCAGCCCCTTATGTACAGGCGTAGTCTTCTGGAACAATCGGCGTAGAAGGTTCGGCGCGCAGAACATTCTAACCTCGAATACGCAACACGGATATCAAATTTACCAGAACGCGACATTCACAGAAACAACAAAAAGGTATAACCGCGGCCAAGTATCAAAACTGGCTCTCAAAGTGGGAGCCAAGCACGATAACCGTTCGGCCACGGCAGGGCTGCCTACTTGGCCACCTGCACATTCGGGTGGCCAAGTGAAATTGTGGAACACCCTCTTAAAAAGCGAAACTGATTAACTCGAAGAGTTTTTTTTTTCCTTTTTCCTGTTTGGTTTCAATGCAAAAATTATAGTAAAAGGGGTGTCTTTATTATCGATTTTGAACTTATGCCTTCCTAACGACGTCTACGCATAAGCTATTAGAGGTGGATAAGTGTAATGACGTACAGCCTGCGTAAAGGTTGCTTGTTGACCAAGTCACTACCGAAGGCTGGAGGGCATTGAAGTATTCTTCGGTATATTCAATTCTATAATCTCAGGGAACGCTACGGTTTCACCCTTCAAACTTCACCTTAAACTGCTACGCTACTGTCTCCTTCCTCATTTCGAAAGAGTAAACAATAATGTGTGGGTGCTTTACTGCTTGAATCGATTATATATTCTCAACTGAGAAGGATTACATAATTATGTAAATTCACACAAGACCACGACTCTACATTTTCATCAAATCAAATTTCAGACTTGGATTCATTTATTTTTTATTCTAAGCGCTTTATGAACTTAACTTTTAAACAATAATGTGATCTGGGTCCCAGCCTTTATATCTTTGCCTTTCGTTAAATATTCAGGTATAAAATGTATACATCCTACTAACTGAAATATAATAATTCATGATTATTTCATCCCAGAGAGTTCTACCCTTGATTTACTAAACTGCACAGTTTAGGATACATCTTATAAACACACGCTCACATCGTGACCCGAGCATCGGCTACACGACTGCATTTCGAGATTTTGCAAAAAAACGAGTGCACATGTTATTCTTAAATAACTGAAATATGTAAGTTTCCGGATTACCGTTGCATTGAGAAATCTGCGTGGCCGTTTTTAGACAACTTTCCTGCAAACGGGCATACGAACGATATTTTTCATAACTGCTTTATGCAAAGTATACTAACTAAAAAAATGCAACGTGGATCTTAAATTAATAGCAAAATAAAAAGTACTCACCCTTCAATTGCTGGCTCAAATATAAGTAGTTAAAAATTATTCAAGAGTACCTGCGCAAATACGTGAGCATGAGTTTGATCTATATGCCACGCGTTATTTTCATCGCAGTCATATGGCGCCCTGGATAATACCAGTGGCGTATAAATTACAATTTGTTTTTGTTTTGTTTTGTCCATCTGTCTCCAGCACACCCGACAGGAGAGCTATAGCAACAAGCGGGCGTTTTGTGTGTGTGTGTGCTATTTGCTAAAATTTGAACAGTGCGTAGAATACAGCTGGCGATCTCATGTAACATAAAATACTTAAAATTGAAGGGCTCTGACGTCATTCGTGTTCTGTTGAAAACATTCAGTTCCTAACCTGACGCACGTGCTGTATGGCGCTTATATAAAACAGAAATATAAAACAATTTTACATTTGTGGTAATTGCAGTCTACATTAATGTTTCCGTTCATACCAATCAATATGTCTTGCAAAAGGTTTCTTTACTCGTAGATAAGTACAGAATTTTTAACTTCCACAATCATGAACAGAAGCAATATTATGACAATCTCTTGTAGAGGCTAAGCTGAGTATATAGAACTACTAAACAAATAAGTCAAACAATTACAGTACACGCCTACTAAAACCTCAGTTTTTCTTTGGCATTAAGAAGCGGCTATAGATATGAACATCCAACTCAGATAAACGAAGTAATCTTTTATTACCGTTCGTCCTGAAAGAATGAGTAAGGGACAGTGTACTCAAAAACTGCAAGAACAAGCATTAAAACACAGAAAAAGGTCAAACACACAAAGCTAGTGTATAGCTTTCTTCTAAGCAAACTCTTAGCCAACAAACTACCAACAGCGGAATGCGTACCGTGTTTAGAGTGCGTTGATGTTTTTGGGCTGCGGGATGTACAGTGCTAATCACACTTGTCTATAACGCGCGAGCGTGCGGCTTCCTCAGGGGAGCGCTAGACTGGTGGCATTCGCGGAAACTAAGCTAGTCACGTGGCGCAACATGGAACGGCCCGCTCGAGGGGTGTCCTGCCCACTCTATGAGCTGGCGGCGAACGCGGAAGGCTGCTCGCACGCTTTTTACAAGTCATTGCTCGAACAATGAACACACTAAAGCATGAAGGCGTATCAACGATGTCGTCATCAAAAAACAAAAATATATCATAAAGCACTTTACTTTTATCGCTTATCAAGCTGATGGAGTGGGCAGGACACCCCTCGAGCGGGCCGTTCCATGTTGCGCCACGTGACTAGCTTAGTTTCCGCGAATGCCACCAGTCTAGCGCTCCCCGGAGAAAGCCGCACGCTCGCGCGTTATAGATAAGTGTGATTAGCACTGTACATATGGCAGCGATTGCGATGAATCGTCGCAATAACCGGTGAAGGATGCCTCTACTTGGAATAATGTATCCCGACATCAACGAGCACATCACAATTCGGCCTTTTCACAGACAGAAGCCGACCGAATGGTCTTACGTATACGAGGTCAACACATCACTGAAGGCAAAAAAGCGGCCGCGGCCGAAAAGGTGACATTTGCCCTCCCAAAGGGCGTCGCCGCGCTAGGAAAGCGCCGCTGGCGAGCAACATTGAGGTACTCTAAACGTTTTAAGATAGACCCCTTTCGAAAGACTGCTTTTTGCTGGGAGCTGCGGAAGCCCTGCAGAATGGCGGACTCTAACCGCCACCTCACTCCACACTTTATGCGTTCGGTTGGATTGGAAGGCAAAGAACAAACCTACAGAAAAAGGTGATGAGCGCAGTGACGTTTCATTTTCCCCTCTCAACGCTGCTCGATTGGCTCGTCGCTTCCTGGATTTGGCCTCACTCCGACATATGGTTTCTTATGGAATGACTTGCACATTCAACATTGTCAGTTGTTCCGCCATTGAGCAGTGGTTCAAACCTTCTAATAATCGGCAAGTGACTTTCGAAAGGGGCCTATAGCAGAAACTTCTGACGGAGCTTGGTGGTATCCGTGGTACTTCTCCGGCGAGATTATCGGTGTTTCTCGCTGTGGCATTGTCTTCGCTTTTGGCCACACGTGGCGCGACACTTGACTTTTTGCTGGAAGGAGCATTCTCGAATTTGTGCTCCTCATAAACAAAGGACCTTCGGGGATTGCGTGGAAAAGAGTGCAAAAAGAGCTTAGCACTGCCTTTTGCAATCATTGATTGTCGGTGTGTTTTCGTTTCCTGTAACATATAATGAGTGCACTGATTGCGTACAAGTCACAATGTCACTAGATTATTAGAGAACGAAGCCCCTACAAAACGAATTAAGATGACTTCGATCAAAATGACTAAGCGGAATAGGTCAATCAAATGAGCTGCTTTAATGGGTACAAGATCAGTCGGAACAATGTCACGAAGCATCTTCATTCGCAACCTCCAGCGACGGTGGTACCGCGGTGTCAGAATGGCCCTCCCTAGCTTCTGGATGATTGGCATCCGAATGAAGTTTCCTGTTTACCCCTTCTTGACGTAGAAGAATGTCGCCCGATCGTATCATATAAAATTATAACTACTCACGCGTCGCAGACCCAACCTCGTACTACTGTTTTACGACAATCTTCCAAACGCTTTAGGATGTGCCTAAAGCGTTTTTTAGACCTGATATTACTTCTAAGTGGTGACGCCGAACGTAACCCTGGTCCCATGACCGTAGCACAGGCTGAGACTCTAGCTAGGATTGAAACGTTTGTTACTCAATTACGTAAAGGTCAAGCAGGTGTCGTGGTACAACTAAAAGAAATTACTGACGAGCAAAAACGCACAAGTGACTCATTATCTGCTTTAACAACGCGTGTGACGACTATTGAAACTGATCTTGCAATCTGTAAATCCAAAGCAAACGCGGCGACTGAAATCGAAACGAAGGTCGAATGCTTTCTTTCCGAGATAGCGCTTTTGAAACCGCGCTCCGATGATGCCGAGAGTCGTTCCAGACGATCGAACTTGCTTTTTTTTGGGCTTCAGGACACTGCTAGGGAATCGTGGGCGGAATCCGAAAAACT